GATACCTTCTACAGTGTTGAGTTAGATAAGATGTAACTTCAAATGGTTTATTCATACTATCTCATGTAGCATCATTGTTATTTATAGCACATAATGAAATTACAGTAATGTATTTATTTGACAACAAGCTATGCTTAGAAGTAAGTCCATCTATGTTTACTGGTGTTCAAAAGCATTCAACATAAATATTTTTTGCTGTCCCATAACAAGCTCATCCATAATCTAGAATCTCAGGTTAATATGTTGGTCCTGTCAGCTTATAAAAGGATATTTACGGTAATAAAATGGTATAATGGTATATGTGTGTGTGGGAACTGAATGACAAACCATTACAGAAAAGTTGTAGAATTTAAATGCTTCATTGCTGTTATCAATTATTTGTCAAGATTCAAAACATTTTTTTCAACTACATTCTTTCACATCATGCCTTTTTTCCTGTCAGTTTCAGCATCTGATCATCTCATGTCAGACAGAACTTCCTGACAGCTGACATCAGAGCTTCATTTGGGGAATGGTGATTGTTAAATTAAAACTTGTTTTCACTGAATTATTATGTAATGACATTTCTCCTATTTCTATATTTTTTTTTTGTAACCTTTAATATCAACACAAAATGAGAGAGAAAAAAACACAATACCTTCTCACATACCATCCTGTACAGACATGGATATAAAGTGTGGGATTATTATTGAATTATTCTGATGTAATATTTCTGAAGCTCCCATTTCGTATCAGAAACACGTCATCAATGCGTTGAGAATATATTTACTATTTTTTTTCTTTCCTTCTTTTCCCATCCCTATTTCCTACCCCCACAAACAATGGTAATGGAATGACTGGACATTGGAGGGTTAGTCAAGTTTGACACAGTATTGTGTTACTTACAGCCATGGAGTCTGACATCCTGTGTTGCAATCAATATTTGTGATATCTGACGTTTGGTATAATTACGAGCATGATGCAATGATTATAAAACAAATAAAATACGCTCTAAATTTCCTCAAGATTAATTAAAGTACACAGATTAATTGCCAAATCTAATTTTCTACATATAGAATTCCCGAAACATCGGCACTCTTTGGTGATCATGCAGCTAACAAATTTTAAAGTAATAAAACACAAAACTACAATGTTAGTACCATAAATTTCCGCATATAGTTCACACTTTTTCAAGCTAAAACTGTCATGTTCAAAAGGGGGTGCGCATTATACGCAGGAACATGCCATTCTTGGGGTTATCATTCCCGAGTTCTGCGTCCGCCATATTGGATTACCTCCCTTCACATAGTTATATGTAAAAGTCGTCGGTCATATATGATAGTTTGGAGATAAAAACAACAACAAAAAATTTAAAAAAAAATAAAATTTGAATCTTTTAATCATCAGCCATACACACTAGCATTACGGTGAATCTATTTTTTTTCTTTTTCTTCGTTTCCCGTCGTTGGAATAGTCACAGTCTTACTATTGGTCGGGGCTATAGTAGTGTCTGAATTTCTGCCTCTTTTTGATGATGTATCTCTGGAATTCAATGAGTCCGGAAGTTTTTGGGCGATTGTCGTTCTATTCATAAATCGGACAGCCCATCCCTTCAATGCCTAAAGTTGGTGACCCCATGACCTCTCTTGATCTGCATGGCCTGCAGGCCCAGTTCTGTTGTATTGGCAGCAATGCTGGCATCTTGGTGATCGCATACAAAGTTGAACAGCTCTCTCCCATCTCTGGGTGTTTCTCTGTCGCACCTATGTCTGCCCTTCTGGTCAGTGGTTGGAACTTTAGACAGTCTTTTTTTTCTTCCATGCCTTGATATTTCACTCTTGAATGTCGAAGTGGCAACCGGCGGCACGAAACTCAAGTCTCTCGGTGTAGTCAATGGCGTCCAGTTTTTCTTTCCCTGTAAACGATGTTTGCTGTTATCCCATGTCGAAGTCCGTGTAAACAATCTATAATTAAGTACCTTCGGATACCACGGTAGGTACAGATATGGGGACAAGGTAGGATTGAAACTTTTCAGACAGTTAAAACAACATCGTTTTCTGAGCAATAGCACTGTTCAGCCCAAGCTGGGTGTTATCAATCTCCTCATACTCAACGTGTTTGTTACCTGTTAAGAACCATTAATTATCGAATTAGACAAGCCTTTCATGCTTCTTAAGTCAGGCACCTGAGTGAATTTGTTTACATAAGGTAATTAAATATGTTAGGGTCACGATGATTGTGGTTTCCTAATTATCAATGGATCAAACCACATCAACTGTTTCATCGCGGTTACCAGTAATCAATTAATCTTTCTGTAGAAAACTTTTTTATTTAATCTGACCCCAAAAAAGTACCTGTGCATTATACCTGAGTGCGCACTATACCCCCAAATTTACAGTATTTTGACAGCAATTATACATGTACTTATCATACTGATTTGTAAAATCTTTCTAAAAAACATTAACAATATAAATACATTTACGTGATTGTCAAGTTATTCTCTGACAAAATAAAACAGTATGACCTACTGTGACCTCACAACTGCTATTGAAATGTTGTTACATTCCATATATCCATTGAATGAATCTTTATTTCTTGATTTCCTCAAAAAGTAAGTTCTGGTTGACATCATAGTATCATAACAATTACATCTGATTTGAATATGGAGGTCATTAGCCAAGGTTAAAGGTCAGGGTCAAGACGTCTAGCAAAGCTTGTTCTCAACAAACAGCCAGATCATTATAATGTAACTAACAAGGTAATAGACATACCATCCTCTCTCTGGACTGTAAACATTTCTCTTAATTATTTCCCTCAAATTCGGATCACGATAAATTGTATGTTGAATTTGTTTCCATTTCATAGCAAGCTCATAAACACATCACACATTTTCAATTTCAGCTAATCAAAGAATTGCTAGAAAAATGCCAGAGGTATGCATAGACTCATTTCATGAACTTTGTGAAATGGAAACTAATGCAGGTTATTGTATATGAATGACTTTACTACCAACTTCAAGTGATTATTTTACTTCCATGATTTTTCTTTGTATATACTTATCATATTATCAGCCTGTTATCCATATAAATTTGCCATATAATATAGGTCATTGGTGAAATATTCACTGGAAACTTTCTCATTGACTGTGTTAGTGAGAAATTGATAAAAATGTCATAATACAGACAATAATGTTATGTCATGAATTGAACATGCAACAAAATGGCTGCCTCCGTTTAATTTTCAATACCTGCCAAAAGGCAACTTTTCCACATTATGTAATGCAATATATCATAACTTTATGTTTTCATTTCAAAAGATATTTTAGGAGACTCATCTTTAAGTTTAAATAGTTCCTTCACCAAGGCTTGCAAAAATATAAACTGCCAAGACTTGTTTGATAAATTGCGATAAGAAATGAAAACTTATTCAACATCCTACATTTATGAATTTCACAATTTATACAGCATTTAGTCTCACGTTTGTCAATATTTTATGTTTAGTTTTACAAAATACATCATTTCCTGTACAACGTACATGAAAACACCCTTCAGAGACAGACCATAAAAGTAATTTTTCTGTCTAAAATGCAACCCTGATAAATTTGGCATTGTTCAATATGTCAGAATGGAGTGAATTTTCTATTTTGTTCCTTTTATGAATCAAAGTTTTTATCTCTTCTAACCCATAACTTCATTTTTACAATTACATCACAGTGTGAATTTTACATGTTAAAGTGAGTTAAACATTCTGAGGGATCTGATCGGCCTATTTCTATACTAACATCTATTTATATAGATAAGTACATCAGACATATGACATGGGACGCCATTTACAGATCTACAACAATATTCCAGATCTGGCAGTGGCAATGATGAATATGTTATTTTGCATATTACTCTCAGTTAAAACCAATACAAACAGATATTTTAGAATTTAACAAGATGTATTGTTACCAGTGTCTGCTGAGATTAAGACTCTTAGCTATATCAAATGATGGCAACACATAGATGTCAATTTCAAATTTCTCACTAAATCTTTGAAACAGAATTAAAAAAAACTTAAAACAAACAAAAAGGTATATGGCCTGACATTTTTATGAATTAAGAATGATTGATATGTCAAATATCCATTTACACAGAGATTCAGACGCTGTATGAAGTGATAGGCATTTTTACATGTGTAAGAATTGCTTGTTACAACAGGAGGCTGATGTCTGTGAGTCAGGAGCTTCAGTTGTGTGGCTGGTATCAATACAGCTCACCACGGTAACCACCAGCTTATCATTCCAGCCTCCGTAACCAAGACAAATCCATGTGATTGGACAGCCGTAAAATAGAAAGACTTAAATGGAATCATTTCAGGAGAAATTTGTTATTCATGATGCCCTTCAGTTTAGCTACCATGGAAACAGGACAATAATCAGAAAATGTACCTGGAGTCTGAAAAATTGTCATTGAACACAAGTTGAGTGAGGATCATATATTGCTGTGTTAAGTATTAATAGTTTTTTAGTTGGAATTTTTGATAACTACTGATGCTGTTTTGAATACTATTGAAGTATTCCTGTATTTTATAACACCATTTCTAGACTAAATTATTAGTAATTTATTTCAATGGAAAATCCTAAAAAAACTGAAGAGATTTTAAGATATTGAGGGAAAATTAACAGACAGCATTTAAATTCAATGGATTTAAGTAAATCATTGCCTAATTGAGGATAATATCAGCAAGCCACCAATGTAATAATTCATCTACGTAAATCTGACATCAAAAGAAAAACACCGTCATCATCAAGAGCGTTCCATTTCAAAAACAACACGTCACTTGATTGTGTGTAGGCTACCAACGCACATCAGATTTATTTCTATTTCTATTGACGGAAACTTCTGGAACAGACTTATAACAAAATCATTACTGAAAACATGGCAATGTTTTAATGGCGGAAAGACCCATCATGGAAATCAACATTATAACAGATATTGATGCGGTTACCATGGTGATCTAAAGCATTGGTTATTAGGATAATTTCTTATGACAAAACACTATCAGATTTCCTCCTGAGAATGTATATATAAATGGAAATCATGCAGATTTTAGGCGGTTCGACAAAGATGCAATTTTTCCAAATAGACTCTCTGTCTGTGATGATACACATAGTTATTCAGCTCACCAAGACGCGATCAGTCTTCAGACATGGAAACAAAGAACAGATTACCATGGATTGTGCCCATGATTAGTGCAATTTTTGGATATCACTGTGATATGAATGTGGAAGAAAACTACTCAAGCAATATGTTCAACGAAAGTAATATTTCAACGATATCCTCACCCATTAGGATGTCTTCAACAGATGAATTCATCTCGCAGGACAGTTTACGATCCATAAAATTTGCTTTTGGTATGATTATCATACCAGTACTATCAATGTTTGGAGCTATAGGAAATATTTTAAGTTTGGTGGTCCTATTTCAACACCGCATGAGAAGTGCAACCAACTTTATATTAGCGGCTTTGTCTGTGTCTGATTTTTTGTTTTTAATTCACAGCCTGCTTTTTTCTGGAATTAACATACAAATATTCCTGGACCCCTTTCGAGGAAAAAATGTTCGGAATATCATGTATCCAGTGTTTGGAGCCTATGGGAGTTTGGTGACTGCTCGCATCACATCATGGTTAACAGCACTGTTAAGTGTGGAACGTTTCATAGCGGTGCACTTTCCAATGAAAGCAAGACGCTTTTGTAGTAAGAAACATACACTTATTGCGATATTTGTAATCTACATTTTCACAATCATCATGTTTCTACCCTATGCACTGAGGTACAAAGTCATACAAAAAATCAAAAGAAACATGACCTACTCTATATTGCTGAAATCTGATCTCGGTGCTAATGTAGATTTTTATGAAACCTACGGAATTCTTATGAACATCTTGTTCAGGTTTTTGCCGATTCTAATGTTATTCATTCTCAACCCTCTAATCATCTACGTGGTAAAAAAAACGTGGGCACGACGTCAGAGTATGACTTCAAATTTAAGCGTTCAGTATAAACACGGTTCGGGAGAACAGTCTCACATTACCATAATGTTGATGATAGTGACCTTTCTATTTGCTGCCTGCATTTTACCGGGTGCGTTGAACAGCACTGCTTCCCATATATGGACAGAATATTCGAAATTCGGAAAGGCAAGGAATCTAAAAGAATGTATATCTTATATAACTTATTTTTTAGAGACACTTAATTCCTCTGTGAACTTTTTGATATACATGGCCCTCAGTAAAAAGTTCTGTGTAACTTATAAGGAAATGTTCTGCTGTAAAAAGAGACAAAATCATTCAATGAGCTGGGGCAGCTATCACTCAAAGGAGAGGACGATGGAAAATCGGAATCAACGCAAAGCAACCATTATGAGTGGAAACAGTGATTCTAGATACTTTGTTATTGAGAACAGGATTAGTATGGAGCCATTACACTGAAACTACTAAATTTTGAGTAAGACCAGGTATATTTTGAATAAATGGCTGATCTTGTCCTTTTCAAAACTGAAGAAGATACTTTTGATATGTATTTTAAGCAATAACACTGATTAAAACAGATAAATGGTAAAATTTCTAGTGTTGTGGTATATCTTGAAAGATTAAAAACAGTAAATCTAATGAATTTATCACAGGAGTCATATGACTGAAAGTCATGCCTACCATCAAGTAATAAGTGTAAACATTATTTTGCCTAAATTCTATACTTTATAATGTACATATTTTTGAAGTATTCTTATTTTAGCATTTGTAAAGCTTATTGCACTAAAATATGATTCCATTAATTACAGTTTCTGTATATTGATCATACAAAAATCTTGTGGACACAGTAAATCATCATCAAGCTTAATTACCAAAAACACATCAAATTAACACCTTATCTTCCAACTATGCATTTCTGTGACTTTGGTGTTTGGGAAAAAAGTCCTATCTCCCATTATATCTCTCCATTATATATTTTCTTATGATTACAAGTGACAATGTAACCATCAAGCCTGGGGTTATCCTTCTCCTCCTTCACAGGGTGATGTTCTGATGAAGGGGTGATTATCTTTCACTGTAATTACCAAAAATGCTATTTAATCGTTTTGTAATAAGCTGGCCCCCTTACTTCGAAATAATGCTTTTTTGGCCCCTGGGTATAATTGCAGGATATATAGGGCACCATTCTCAAAGGAAAAAAAAGGATGTTCAAAAGGAAAATTTCTGCTCTACTTTTTTAAAGCTGATACAGTGATGACCTTTACTAGGAGATGTCAGTGTGATGTCTGATTTAATTAACAGCACAGAAAACATCCTGCTAAGCACACTGCACTCTTATTTTAGGTTTGTGCTACAGGGAGTGGCCAACTTAATCTGAAAATTCACAGCAGAACAATATTTCATCCACAATTAAGCATTTACATGAGTTTTTAAATATATTTTGAAGATAAAATGTCTCTCATTATAGGGGTTGTTTTATCATGGATACTAAAGCAATAAAACCTGGCCCAGACCATGGGATGAGGTGAGAATTTGTCACGGGTCACAAGGATCTAATTATTGTATATGTCTTTTCAAATCTACTATGGGCGATACAGGCATGATATGTTCTGTTTCATCAAATTTATTCAATTACAGTCAAAAAATAAATTTGTCGCCAGATGTCACAACTTTATTTTCATAAGTGAATACTTAATTCTAGTAAAATATATGTACATCAGATTGGACTGCTTCAATTCTTAGAGGGATCCAGAAAGATGTTTGTTGTGTCCATAATTGTTTTATCTTTATTTGCTCTTTAAAAGTTGGATCTTTTCCCTTCTTTTCTCTTCTCTGTTTCTGCTCTCAATGATAAGAAATTTGAACATTCCTTGGCAGAAATTGTGATGTAATCTTTAATTGCCAAATCCATGATGGCCACCTAAAAAGCACAACTAGGTACCAAGGGGAACCTACATATGAAATTTGAGAGAAATCCATCCCATACTTCTCAATAAATCACAAAAACAAACTTCATTGTAAAAATCCAAGATGGCCACCTGTCTGGCATTTTGTGTTCCTAATCACACACAATCAAATGGACACAACTAGGGTCCAAGGGTAACCTACATATGACATTTGAGAAAGATCCATCCAGCACTTCTCAAGAAAAAGCGATAACAAGAACTTTTTATAGACAGACAGAATGACAGATGACGGACCCTGAATGTAGGTCACAAAATGTGGAAAACCCTTTAGTAAAGCCTGGGGTTTTATGACATTTTGTGACCTCTCAGATGGAATATTCCTATCCTTCACCCTGATACACGAAAGAGTCTTATAATCTTCCCTATAACCAAATAGATAATAAAAAGAGCATCTTAAATGAGTGTCAATGTAATAAGGAATTCTTTAAAGGAATTCAATAGTTTATGTCACAAGCCATTACCGAAGTAACATCAAATTATTTAATGGTAATTCCATATAACATCAGCACAAGTGTAAGATTCTATTTATCATATAACTTGTATTTCTGAAATATACGTGAAACCACCAATGTTAATTTCCCTATAGGACAGACTTATTTTGACACAGATGGTATGGCTTTCACAACAGAGACACAGACGGTATGGCTTTCACAACAGAGACACAGACGGTATGGCTTTCACAACAGAGACACAGATGGTATGGCTTTCACAACAGAGACACAGATGGTATGGCTTTCACAACAGAGACAATCATGTGACGTATCAAGACATGACTTCTTTATGATGTCACACTAGTGTTATTACATGTGTCCTATGATATTTCTGACATGGCTGTATGACATGACATAACATGTCAGTGATGTAACCTTGCTTTATGGTTACATTTCATTGTGCTAAAATGTTTATCTTTTGTGTGAAAACCAGCAAATAATCATACATTTATCATACTTTATCTGTTCTTTCTTTGATCTGTTCCTGTTTATTTTCAGTCTTGTTAAGATTTGGTCAAAATCCTACACCTTTTGTACTTTTAGATAGATGAACAGGAGGTGTATACAGATGGGTGGACAGGAAATGTGTAAAGACAGGTGGACAGGAAGTGTGTAAAGACAGGTGGACAGGAAGTGTGTATGGATAGGTGGACAGGAAATGTGTAAAGACAGGTGGACAGGAAATGTGTAAAGACAGGTGGACAGGAAGTGTGTATGGATGGGTGGACAGGAAATGTGTATGGATGGGTAGACAGGAAATATGTAAAGACAGATGGACAAGAAATGTGTAAAGACAGGTGGACAGGAAGTGTGTATGGATGGGTGGACTGGAGATGTGTATGGATGGGTAGACAGGAAATGGTAAAGACAGGTGGACAGAAAATGTGTAAAGACAGGTGGATAGGAAGTGTGTATGGATAGGTGGACAGGAAATGTGGACAGGAAATGTGTAAAGACAGGTGGACAGGTGTAAAGACAGGTGGACAGGAAATGTGTACAGACAGGTGGACAGGAAGTGTGTATGGATAGGTGGACAGGAAGTGTGTATGGATAGGTGGACAAGAAATGTGTATGGATGAGTTTACAGAAAATGTGTATAGACAGGTGGACAGAAAATGTGTAAAGACAGGTAGACAGGAAATGTGTAAAGACAGGTGGACAGGAAGTGTGTAAAGATAGGTGGACAGGAAGTGTGTATGGATAGGTGGACAGGAAATATGTAAAGACAGGTGGTCAGGAAGTGTGTAAAGACAGGTGGACAGGAAGTGTGTATGGATAGGTGGACAGGAAATGTGTAAAGACAGGTGGACAGGAAATGTGTAAAGGCAGGTGGACAGGAAGTGTGTATGGATGGGTGGACAGGAAATGTGTAAAGACAGGTGGACAGGAAGTGTGTAAAGACAGGTGGACAGGAAGTGTGTATGGATAGGTGGACAGGAAATGTGTAAAGACAGGTGGACAAGAAATGTGTAAAGACAGGTGGACAGGAAGTGTGTATGGATGGGTGGACTGGAGATGTGTATGGATGGGTAGACAGGAAATGGTAAAGACAGGTGGACAGAAAATGTGTAAAGACAGGTGGATAGGAAGTGTGTATGGACAGGTGGACAGGAAATGTGTAAAGACAGGTGGACAGAAAATGTGTAAAGACAGGTGGACAGGAAATGTGTACAGACAGGTGGACAGGAAGTGTGTATGGATAGGTGGACAGGAAGTGTGTATGGATAGGTGGACAAGAAATGTGTATGGATGAGTTTACAGAAAATGTGTATAGACAGGTGGACAGAAAATGTGTAAAGACAGGTAGACAGGAAATGTGTAAAGACAGGTGGACAGGAAGTGTGTAAAGATAGGTGGACAGGAAGTGTGTATGGATAGGTGGACAGGAAATGTGTAAAGACAGGTGGTCAGGAAGTGTGTAAAGACAGGTGGACAGGAAGTGTGTATGGATAGGTGGACAGGAAATGTGTAAAGACAGGTGGACAGGAAATGTGTAAAGGCAGGTGGACAGGAAGTGTGTATGGATGGGTGGACAGGAAATGTGTAAAGACAGGTGGACAGGAATAGTGTAAAGACAGGTGGACAGGAAGTGTGTATGGACAGGTGGACAGGAAATGTGTAAAGACAGGTGGACAGAAAATGTGTAAAGACAGGTGGACAGGAAATGTGTACAGACAGGTGGACAGGAAGTGTGTATGGATAGGTGGACAGGAAGTGTGTATGGATAGTTGGACAGGAAAGGTGTAAAGACAGGTGGACAGGAAATGTGTAAAGACAGGTGGACAGAAAATGTGTATGGATGGGTAGACAGGAAATGTGTATAGATAGGTAGATGGGAACTGTGGAAACACAAGTGGACAGGAAGTGTGATAAGACAGGTGGACAGGAAAAGTGTAAAGACAGGTGGACAGAAAGTGTGTATGAATGGGTGGACAGGAAATTTGTAAAGACATATGGGTAGGAAGTATGTATGGATGGGTGGACAGAAAATGTGTAAAGACAGATGGACAGAAAGTGTGTATGAATGGGTGGACAGGAAGTGTGTAAAGACAGGTGGATAGGAAGTGTGTATGGATTGGTGGACAGGAAGTGTGTAAAGATAGGTAGACAGGAAATGTGTAAAGACAGGTGGACAGGAAATGTGTAAAGACAGGTGGACAGGAAGTGTGTATGGATGATTGGACAGGAAGTGTGTAAAGATAGGTAGACAGGAAGTGCGTATGGATGGGTGGACAGGAAGTGTGTAAAGACAGGTGGTCAGGAAGTGTGTATGGATGGGTGGACAGGAAGAGTGTAAAGATAGGTAGGCAGGAAGTGTGTATGGATGTGTGGACAGGAAATGTGTATGGATGAGTTTACAGAAAATGTGTAAAGACAGGTTGACAGAAAATGTGTAAATACAGGTTGACAAGAAGTGTGTATGGATGGGTGAACTGGAAATTTGTATGGATGGATGGACAGGAAGTGTGTATGGATGGGTGGAGAGGAAATGTGTATGGATGGGTGAAAAGGAAATGTGTATGGATGGGTGGATAGGAAATGTTTAAAGACAGCTGGACAGGAAATGTGTATAGATAGGTAGACAGGAAATATGCATTGATGGGTTGACAGTTAA